GTCGGTTCTGGCAAATGTCCATCGGGGGCGTCGTCGCCTTTCTGCACTTCCACGACGTGTCGTCGGCGTCGCGGCCGCCATCGAACGCCATGTCGGTCGCAGGCTTGGCCATGATCGTCGCGGGATTCTTCCTCATCGACGAGACCAGCGTGTTTCCGGGGTTCTGGGCGATCCTGCCGTCCTGCGGCGCGGCCCTCTTGATTGGAGGCGGCGCCGCGGCCGCCTTCAACGCGTCCGTGTTGAGTGCCGCGCCCGTCGTGTACGTGGGGAAGATCAGCTACGCGTTGTACCTGTGGCACTGGCCGCTGCTCGTCTTTGCCAACGTGCGATTCCCGAACGCGGCATTCCGACCGTTCTACATGCAGCCGTACATGATGGTGGTCGTGGCCGTGGCGTGCAGCATCAATTTTGTCTCGTTCGAGAATCGCGTTCGGCGAGTCAAGTCCAAATGGATCGTGCCGAGTCTGTTTCTTCTCATGCTCGCGATGTCGGCAGTGTCGCTCGCCGTGTACTCGACCCCAGAGGCGTTTTCGTTGACCGAGCTCGACCTGCTGCAGGTGGACAGAACCCACGACATGAGCGACGGCGATGTCCTCGCGACTCTAGCCCCTGCTTTAAACGTCTTACTGGATACGAAGGGAGTCCATGCTTTGGCCACTGCCGAAGTCAACCTGACTCTAGCGTCTACTCAAAACAGCACAACTACATCCGATGCTCCTGTCCAAGCTAGTGCGACAATTTCCGCGACCGCGGCGACGGCCGCCGTCGCTGCAAAAGAGTTGCCAAACCCAAGTCGCGAAACGCGCGTTCAAAATACGACATTCCTCCAAGCCATCCAGGGCGGAAAGGATATGAATGTGGTATGGGGGATCAACTTGACGGCGCTCAACACAACGTCGCCGTATGGATATTATCCCCACGCCCAAGTCCTGAACCCTGACCACGAATCGAATGGACTGGTGATTGTGCTGGGCGACTCGCACGCTGACATGACAAAGCCGCGCTTCCTCAAGCTGTACGACGCGGCTGTCCAAGCGAAGCGCCGTTTTCCCACGATGATCTTCAAAACCGAGTTTGGTCGGGCGCCGATGTCGTGCGAGGCCGCCACGGACGTCGACATTGCCATGGTCAAAGCGATGAAGCCCCAAGTTGTGTTTTACAACTTCCACTGGCTGCAGTACCTCCGCCCCGACGCTCCTACGGGGACACCGCCGAGCGCAAACCCCCGGTGTTGCAAGAGTCTATACGAGTCGTGCCCGTACCAGACCCAAGCCGACGCCGACGAGCTCGTGCGACGATGGAAAGAGCAAGTCAAACAGCTTGTGGCCCTTGGCATCCGCGTGTTTGTCGCGCAGCAGTACGTGGAGAACTCGCGCTTCTACTACGTGTATTGGCTCGAGGGAAACACGGTCAAGGCTGTGCCGCCTCCGTATGTTCGATCCCAATTTGAAGCCGAGCACGACCATTTGCTGTCGGTGATTGCAAATGCCACGCACGAAGCGAACGCGACGCTCATCAACTTTTCCGACAATCTGTGCTGGGAAGACCTGTGCCAGGTCGTGAATGGCCATGGCGAGCCTGTCCTAGCGGACGACAACCATATACGGGCGTACACTGCACGCAACTACCTCAGCGTCGTCGATCAAGTCGTGGAAGCAGCGCTGCTGCACCACTGAAATGCAGAGCTCCTGTGTGGAAACCGATGTCGTAAAGTGGCCAATGCAGCATCCAAACACTGAAAAGTACATTTTGGTAGACCAACCGGAGCAATCGTGGATGAGACTGAGTATACTAGGGAAAAGGGCACAGAGCAAGTGTGGGCCAAGTGAATCGCATGACCGAAGTACTACTGCTGCGCTCGACCATCACGCGGGACACGTTCGCTCGGTCGAACAACAAACGCCTTGTCCATCACGTCTTCAGGACCACCCAGACACAGTTTTCTATCGAACATCAGCAATGACTTTGGGTGGCTCCCACTTGGCTTTGGGAGGAAAGGAAGCAAGCGTTCACACGAGTTCAAGTGTATGGCAGGGTTGGCTAGCATGCGCCGAGCTAGCAATGTCAGGTTGGAGTCGACAGACACTGCGCTTTGGCGCATTGCGAAGCAGTTCAGGTTGCGTCAGGCGCCAGCTTCCTTGAATCCATGCCGTGTCGAAGGCCAGTTACGGCATCATGAAACCGACTGAGGAGGCGTAGACCAATCAGCGATGCCGCTGGCCGTGAAAATCTCGACAGTTTCATGTGCCCTGAATCTTCTATTCTTCTCGCGGCCGCCGCGTTGTCCGTGACAGCATTCGTCGATTCACTTCTGACGGAGGTTTGTTCGACATGCAGTGGCGCCACCAGCAACAACACCATCTGTCCCAGTCGTCGTCCACGGACGCTTCGTGTTGCAAGGTTCCTGTGCACCACCCGGCCGCCCGCGCCGCGGACGACCCGGTCGACCTTGAAGACATGGCACGGCGCATCGACATTCGCCGCGCGACGAGCATGCGCGATTTGCGCGTGCGGACGTACGCCACCGAGCGCAGTGCGTTTGGGTTTGCCAAGTTGTACGAAGTCGAAATCGAGAACGCGTGCAACAACAACTCGTTGCACTGGAAGCTGTACGTGTGGTTTGGCGACTTTCGGACGTTCTACAACCACGTCAAGCGCATCAAAGCGCCGTCACTCAAGATGTTTCGAAAACAAGCCACGTCCATGATGTTGCGTGGCATGTTTGGCGACAAGGCGCTGTGCATCACGCGAATCCTGCGGCTTCTCTTCCACACGCTGGCTGAAATCGCACCGACCATATCCGTGTGCAAAGCGGCGCGAGCGCTGCTTCACCTGACCGATGACTTTTGCCAAATGGAGTACCCTCACGACCACCGCGCGCTCTTGACGATTCGCCAGATGAAGACCATCGATGTGGACAGTTGCAGCAAATGTAGCGACGACGGCAGTGACGTCGTCGGATGTTGCATCTGCTTGGTGGACGACGACGCCACCGCTCTCCGCGTTGTCTTGCGTTGCGGCCACGAGTTCCACGAGTCGTGTATATGCATGTGGTATTACTCGCGGTTGAATTGCCCCGTCTGTAGGCAGTGAGTTGTACGAATGCGGCTATTTAGATGGATGTCCTGTGAACATGGATCGCTCTCGCTTTTTCTTGGTCGTAGCTCGTCGTGTGACCAGTACCCCACGGCTGAGGTCACAACAAACCAGCTCGAACCGCACCATCGCCAATCCCCTTCGTTCTGTCTCTTCGAGTACGGCGCGGCACGTGCCGTCCTTTTATGATTGATAGGATGGCTGCATGGATGCGCAAGATGCCATTGAAGCAGGATCGACACTCTAGCAGAAACAGAACGTCGGGGCGACTCATACCTGTCACGACGTGGACACTCGAATAGTGCATCGTGCTGGGAAAGACTGGCGGTGTCTCTGTCGATGGGACCCTCATGACCTGTCGTTCACCTACGGTCCGTACTTGGTCGAGCTATGGTCGTGCAATATGCACAACTCATGGGGATAATGGAATCTTTTCCAGCAGAAGCAAAATGCTTGCCATCGACGTCCCAGCGAGCTCGTGGACCTCAGCGCTGTCTTGGCGCTTTAGCGTCGCAGATGGGATTCCGTTCACTACATTCATCGCGCAGTAGTTTAGGCATCAATGGCTTCTCCATTCCTGCGCAGCTGTTGTGATCGCGCTGAGGCAGCAGTCACGAGGCACATTTAGACGGCACTAGCTTCACGTGATGTGCATATCGTGAGGGCACTTCGCCGCGACGAACGTAGGGCCCAGCTGCCCGCCATGGACGAAAGACCTGCGATGGCATCGAATGAGGGTCTCCGGATAAAGATCATTATCCGGATAGCTTGCTTCCAGCGGCACACAATACATTCCGGTCGCCTCACCACTCAACGACGAGAGAAGAAGAATGGCCATGAACATGGGCAGTCCTGCAGAATTGTCGGCGCTTGTGCAAGTGCTTCAAGCGACGTTGTCACCTCAGGCAGCGCCGAGGCGCGCTGCAGAAATCCAGCTCAAGGAGATCACGAAGCAGCCCAACGGGCCGTTGTTATTGCTGAACGTGCTGCGGACGCCGGACGTCGACATGGGTGTGCGTCTTGCGGCGTCGATTGCGTTCAAGAATCTGGTCAAGAAGGAATGGGATCCAGAAAGCGAAGTGTGCATCGCGACCGAGTGCAAGGCGCTCGTGAAAACCCACTTGGTGAGCCTCATGTGCGACATGCCCGACAACTTGATGAAGCAGCTCAGCGCGGCACTGTTCACGATCGGCGAGTACGACTTCCCCGATCAGTGGCCCGAGCTCCTCCCGCAAATCGTCGACAAACTTGGGAACCCGTCCAGCGACATGCACACGATCAATGGTATGCTCGAAACGTCGAACGCCATTTTCAAGCGGTTCCGTCATGCGTTCAAGAGCGATGCCTTGTACAAAGAACTGTTGTACTGCCTCACGCAATTCCAGGTGCGTCCCCTGTCCTCAACTCGACATCGCGTCTGACATCGGGCCCCAGGCACCGCTCCTTCATCTGTTTACGGCGATGGTCCAGCAACTGCAACACCCGACCCCATCGACGGACGTTCCAGGCCTCGTCGCGGCGCTGCGCACAATGAGCCGCATCTTCTTTTCGCTCAACTGGCAAGATCTACCCGAATTCTTCGAAGACAACATTGCGGCGTGGATGCAGGCGTTCGAGTACCTCCTTCGCCTAGACCTGCCACAGCTCGCCGACAACGACGACGAAGCAGACGCCATCTCGCTGCTTCACTCGGCCGTCCTTGAAAACGTCCTCATTTACGCTGAAAAATACGAGGAAGAGTTTGCCCCGTTCGTGTCGGGATTCACCCACGTGATCTGGCAAAAGGTCACGTCGCTGTCGCAGCTGCCCAAGCACGACGATGTCGCCGCCAAGTCGATGAAGTTCCTCCGGTCCATCGCGATGCAGCAAGGCACGACCGCGCTCTTTCAGCAGGATAACATCCTGACCGAGCTCTGCAACAACATTGTCGTGCGCAACCTGCAGCTCCGCGAGTCGGACGTCGAGCTCTTTGAAGACAACCCGCTCGAGTACATCCGCCGCGACATCGAAGGCAACGACGGTGACACGCGCCGTAGCGCCGCCGTCGAACTCCTGCGTGGCCTACGGCAGAAATACGACGACGCCGTCAGCCGGATCTGCCTCACCACGATCACCACACTCTTGCAAGAGTACACAGCATCACCCCAGACAAAATGGATGCAAAAGGACGTCGCGGTAAGGCCTGTGATCTGCATAAACGTGTGTGGAATGGGTGGTGTGGGCGCGACGTTGCGTCGCAGCAGAAAGACCCGGTGCTTTGCATGCTGTACGATGTGCAGGAGACCGTGCTGGACAAGTGTGGTCGTGATGGGTCGTGTGCACGTTTGAGTTTCGTGCGATCGGCGCGGGTGAAATGGGACTTTGTGTGATTCGATTGCATGCCACAAAAATGGACGGCCATGGTGCGTCGGGAGTGTTCCGCATGTGTGGGACTGGCTCAGGCCAGCAGGATGGCTTGCCATCGCTCGAGTGGTTGTTCTATCGACTGGGTGGAGTTGGTCCGCATGGCGTGGTTGCTGGCTCTACCGGTTCTTTGGCATCACCCTGATCGATTTATGACGTGTGGCTGTTGGCTAGATCAACCTCGTGACGGCGCTAGCCGCTGTCAAGCAGACCCGAGCCCGTGGTGTGTCGGAAGTCCACCCAAAGGTCCCGCTGCTCGACATCTTCACTAGCCACATCCTACCGCAATTACAGCAGCGTCAAGACACAAACCCGACAGCGTTGCTCTTGACCGCCGGCGCACTAAAGTTCGTCGCGACCTTTCGCAACCAGCTGCCTGTCCAAGTCATGACGACGCTGTTTCCGCTCCTGGTCGACTGCCTCTTGCCGCACCAGTTTGTCGTGCACACGTACGCGGCGTTCTGCATTGATCGCTTGCTCACGGTGAAAGAGTACGTCCTGTCAAAGTATCGGTCTTGTGCCGTGCGCCGACCAGAGCTCACACAGAGTCGCTTCCATATAGTGAACACCCGAACGGCGGCGGCGCCGCCACCATTCGCCGCTTCAACAAAGACCTGTTGAACCCGTACGTGGCACCGCTGCTCACGCAAGTGTTTGGCATCCTGTGCGACCCGGCCTACCCCGAAAACGACTACCTCATTCGCATGGTCCTGCGAATCCTGATTGTCGCCCAAGACAACGTGCTCCCGATCGCAGACACCCTCGTCCACAAATTGACCGTGCTCCTTGAAAAGGTATGGCGACAACGCACGCGTGGTCGTTCGTTGCTGCCGTATTGCTCCATCCGTTGCTCGTTGTAGGTGTGCAAGAACCCAAGCAACCCTGCGTTTTCGCATTGCCTGTTTGAGTCGCTGTCGATGCTGATCGCCAACGTGTGCACACTCAACCCGGCCTTGACAGACACGTTTGAAGGGCTGCTTTTCCCGCCGTTCCAGCAAGTGCTCATTTCGGACGTCGAGGTACGTGGGCTCGCGTGCTAGGATATAATGCTGCCTCCTCCTTTGTTCTTGAGTCTTCCATGGTGGCTGGCTCCACGACGACGTGTTGCGTAGCCGCTGTGCCCGTACGTGTACCAAGTTCTCGCCCAGCTCTTGGACATGAACCCGTCGACTCAATTGTCGGCCGGGTACCAAAATTTGTTTCCAGTCCTGCTCACGCCGGCACTGTGGGAGCGCATCAGTACCGTGCCGGCAATCGTCAAGCTGCTCGAATCGTACCTTCGCAAGTCGCCGTCGACGATGCAGGCGCACACAACCGGCGTTCTCGGCGTGTTTCAAAAGCTCTTGTCGAACCGCACGACGGAAACCCAAGCGTTTGCGCTCCTCCGGTCGTTTGTGCTTCACATTCCCCTGTACGGTCGCCCCCCCCCTCTGTCGAGAGCGCGTGGGACAAATTTTGTGGATAGAGCTGCGTACCAACCGCTCCTCCCTGAGCTGGTCAAGATTCTCATGATGCGGCTTCAGTCCCGATTGAGTGGCCGCAACTCGGCCATTTACACCAAGGAAATGATTGTGACGCTATCGATTTTTGTTGCAAAGCACGGGGCCGCGACGCTGGTCCATGCCGTCGAGTCGGTCCAGCCAGGGTAACTCCACCTGTTCGCATTCCCACCTACCTCTCACGACGACAGTAGAATGATGAAAATGCTGTTGAACCCCATCTGGCTCGAGAACGCCGTCAAGGCCAAGGGCCCCCACGAACGCAAGGTACGTGCCTACCTACCTGTGCACGCGCTTGATCGGCATGTTGGCAGGCCGCACTGTTGGGACTCACGCTCCTTGTCACGGATACAGCGTACTCGAGCGATGCCGATTTGTACGGCAAGATGATGGTGGCGATTTCAAAACTGCTCGACGCAAAGGAAGACACGTCGACGACGGTGCTCAAGACGGAGGACGAGATCTTGATCGACTTGGAGGAGACTGGTAAGCTGCCGACGCATGCTGCAAACACGCGTCGCTCATGGGTGGTGGACTGCAGGGTATGATGCTGGCTTTACCAGCTTGCACTTTGCGTCGTCGTCGGGGGTCGATTACGCCAGCCACGTCGCCAACCCGGTTCAAGTGTGCTTGGAGGCTGTGTCTCGGCACAGCCTGGCGAACGCGAGCCTGGTTTGTTGGTTGAGTTTGTCTATCGTTTCCTCAATTCGTGGCTAGTTCCGACAAGTGTATGCGCGTTCGTCCAACCAAGCATCGTGGAAGACGCTCCTGGATGCCGTCGAAGCCGCCCACTTGCCGTTGTAAGCACAGCGCGATGACCTCTGTCGATCGCGATGCTAATCTATCGTCGTTTCCATGCCCATCCACGCACACACTGGACCACACACTCGAGCCATCGAATGCGGTCAGTGCACGCAGGCTCCATCTACGGAGGTGGAGGCTCTTCCTGTCGGTCCTCGTTAAAGAGACTCGGGGCCGCGGCCCAGAGAGACTTTACGTGCTCCATCCACAAGATCTCCAACGCAGCAGGACGCGCCATGGAGTGCTCGAGCTCTAGTCGTCGACGTGCGCAATTCATGGCCAACAGGGGGAACTTCCATCGACGACAGGGACGATGCCTCATTGAGGATTTCAAATTAGGACGCAAACACGTTTTATTCCACTTCAAGGTGCGAAGGAGAACTGGCCGTGGGGAAAGGGAGCTGTTACTGTGTGTTTGCGCCAGGTGGAGCGGCAGTACACATTCGCGTCCCTCCATGCCGCACACACTAACACGCTCGCGACTTTGTCCACCGCTCGCTCTCAAGTCGGTCGAATCGCCATGACAGGACCCATCGCTGCAACTCGGTCTTTCAACGTCAGTCCATCGATTTGGCAAGCTTTATCTCTCAGCACTACTCGACTCGAAACAAACGCAAGGTGCTGCCACGGGTTTTGACCTCGTACTGTTCACGAATTGCGACTACCCGAGTATGATGGTGAATCACTCGATTCGGACCTTGTCCGTCGATCCAGCGTTCCACACATGCATTGCCAGACCGGTGTGGGTGGGAGGGCGGTCAACGTGGCGGCCCTCAGCCTCCTCCGCGGCGTCGCCCGTGTCCGGAGGAAGCAGCGAGATGCCAGTTGCCGCCCGCGGCCCGGGGACCGCGGCGAGTTTCCTCAAGAAAGGATTTTTCCTATTTAGGGACAATTGATTGGCTCCGACAAGGCGTGGCAAAACCACTTGCCAAATCAGCCAATGAAAATACATAAACATGTCGCCCGGCCGCGTCCCGCCTCCCCATACAAATCCTTGCATCAATTTATCCGGACACGCCCGGATACCGTCGCTCGAGCGGCGGTGGTTTTCACAATTCGACTCACTGCGCGCCTCCTTCGATCATGTGCGGAATCATCGCTGTCCTGCTCGCGAACAAGCATGAGCATTGCAACCAAATGCTTTACGACGGCCTGACGGTGCTCCAGCATCGTGGCCAAGATGCCGCCGGGATCATGACTGCCCACAAAGGCAAGCTCCACCTTCGCAAGGACAATGGGTTGGTCCGCGACGTGTTCAAGCAGAACCACATGCTTAGCCTGTTGGGTCACATGGGCATTGGCCATTGCCGGTACCCGACCGCTGGGTCGTCCTCCAGCGGTGAATCTCAGCCATTCTACACCAACTCGCCGTACGGCCTCGCTTTGGCCCACAACGGCAACCTGACCAACTCGCACGAACTCGCGTCTGACTTGAAGAACTCCAACTTTCGTCATGTGAACACTGACTCGGTACACTCTCCATCTTCCATCACCAAGTCGTCTTATGCGGTACTTCGCGCTACAGGATTCGGAAATGCTTCTCAACATCCTCGCCGACGAGCTGCTCAAGCAAAACTCGCACCCGTTGAACGTGGACCAGATCTTTGATGCTGTCTCCCAGCTGTACAAGCGCTGCCGAGGCGGGTACTCTGTCGTGTGCTTGATTAACGGCCATGGCATCCTGGCTTTCCGCGACCCGTATGGTATTCGTCCGTTGGTGTTTGGCACGCGCAAGAGCGTCTACGGTATGCCGAAATGCTGCGGCGGCACAGCCGTCCTATCTCTTGACTCATTCAATTCCATTATGTAGGGACCGACTTCTCGATTGCGTCGGAAAGCGTGGCTATCGACGCGTTGTCGTTTTCGTTGGTCCGCGACGTCGCGCCCGGCGAGGCCATCTTCGTGCGTCCGGACGGCGATTTTATCTCCCGTCAATGCGCGCCGGAAGCCAAGCTGAGTCCGTGTATCTTTGAACACGTGTACTTTGCCCGCCCGGACTCGGTCATGGACGGCATCTCGGTCTACCAAGCTCGCCGCAACATGGGAACCAAGCTGGCCGAGAAGGTTCTCCGATTGAAGCCAGAACACGCCATCGATGTCATCATCCCGATCCCGGATACCTCCCGCACGAGCGCGCTCGAAATGTCCCATCGCATGAACGTACGTGTTGTTCCGTGCCAGATCACGCTCGTCTCTGTGGTGCTGGGGCTTGCTGGGTGCGACGCCTGCTCCCGTTGTCGCTTATGGCGCCGTCCTGCTTTGGCAAGTGGCGTCCTTCGGACACTGACGTACTCGCTTTAGATTCCGTACCGCGAAGGCTTTGTCAAGAACCGATACATTGCGCGGACGTTTATCATGCCGGGCCAAGTCGCCCGCAAGAAGACGGTCCGCATGAAGTTGAACGCGATCAAGAGGTATGATGCCCAGCGTTCCCATGAAAGGTCCTTTCTCTGGTGCTGACGATGGGTCATGATACAAGTGAGTTCGAGGGCAAGGTGGTGCTGCTGGTCGACGACTCGATTGTCCGCGGGACGACCGGTCGCCAGATCGTCCAGATCGCGCGCGAGAGCGGTGCCAAGGCCGTGTACTTTGCGTCGGCCGCACCGTGCATTCGACACCCGAACGTGTACGGGATCGACATGCCGACGCGAGAAGAGCTGATTGCGCACAACCGGACGGAAGAGCAGATCGCGGCGGAACTGACGGCGGACTGGGTCATTTTCCAAGACCTGGACGACCTCAAGGCGAGTTGCAACTTGGAGAACCCGGCGATTGCGCATTGGGACACGTCCTGCTTTGACGGCCACTACGTCACGGGCGACATTGACGAAGCGTACTTCAAACGCCTGCACGACGAGCGCAACGACGCCCGCATGGAACTGAAAAACATTGGTGGGACGGCGCCGCTCTACCGCACGTTCTCGGACCCTGCCACCGACGACATTCTTGACATTCACAACAACAGCCAGTAAAGCCACCGGACCTGGTCGCCACCCCCTCCTCGTTTCAGACACTACAGATAGGAAAAACAATGCCGTGTGTGTACAGCTCGTAGTCGAGTGGCACCGTGACAACGCCGACATCGTCTTTCCCATGCCAAACACAGACACACTCTCCCATCTCTCTCGAACCTTTCCGTTTAGGTGAACGCGCCTTGTGAACCTTCGAGTTAGGTCGCTGTGGGAAAAGTGTGCGACGGGAATGACTTCCGAGCGAGTTGGTTCATGCAGCGTAGCCTTATACTGTCTGTCGATGGCGCTCTCGATAACCGAATTTTCCGACGGGAGCGCTGCCCGCCGTGCATCTTGGGGACGTGCTGAGCACGACGTCTTCTGCACACGCGTTAAACGAGCCGCCGCGACGTGCCGCAACGCGCCGGCGCAAACGTAGGACGAAGCTACGTGGCCGGCATGCGAGCCGCAGTGACGACGTGGTCGACCACGCTAATGTAATTTCGCGCTATGTACGCGCGAATGTGGTTGTCATCGGCGTAAACCGGTTCGCCATGACCATTCACGACCTGGCACTCTCCGTCCCAGCACAGATTGTCCGAATAGTTGAGCAGCGTCGCGTTCGCTTCGTGGGTGGCGTTTGCGATGGCCGTGAGCAAGTGGTCGTGCGTCGATTCAAACTCGTGGCGGAGCACGGGCGGCGGCACGGCCTTGACTTTGTCGCCTTCGATCCAGTACACGTAATAGTACTTGGAGTTTTCCACGTACTGCTGGGCGACAAACACTCGAATTCCGAGCGCGACAAGCTCCTGGACTTGAGCTTGCCACCGTTGGAGCAACTCGTCCGCATCCGCTTGGGTCTGGAACGGACATGAATCGTAGAGGGTCTTGCAGCACCGGGGATCGGCCGTGTCCTTTGTCCCAACGGGGGCCTCCGGGCGGAGGTACTGCAGCCAGTGGAAGCTGTAAAACACAACTTGGGGCTTCATCGCCTTGACCATGGCAAAGTCAGTGTTCGTCGCAGCCTGGCACGACAGCGGCGCTCGACCGAATTCTGTCTTGAAGACCATCGTTGGGAACGGTTGGTGGGCTGCCGTCGCATCCTCAAACAACTTTACGAACCGAGGCTTGATCATGTCGGCGTGCGAGTCGCCCAGGACGATGACGAGGCCGTTTGCTTCGTGGCCAGGGTTCAGCACTTGGGCGTGGGTATGGTACCCGTACGGCGACGTGGCGTTGAGAAACGACAGACCTTTCTCCCACTCCGTGCTCATGTCTTTGCCGGCTTGGATGGCTTGGAGGTACGTCGTAGTGGCTTGGTTGCGCGGCTCGCGGCTCGGGTTTTTCGTACGTGACGAACGCAGTGGAGTGAATGCATTCACGGAAGGCTGACCGGTCGATTGTTGGGCATGCAATGCGTCAATGGGAGAGGTATCCAGTGCTGCCGCCAGGACATCGCCGTCGCTCACGTCGTGGGGTCTGTCCATCTGCAGCAGGTCGAGCTCGGTCAACGAAAACGCCTCTGGGGTCGAGTACACGGCGAGCGACACTCCCGACATCGCGAGCATGAGAAGAAACAGACTCGGCACGATCCATTTGGACTTGACTCGCCGAACGCGATTCTCGAACGAGCAATGCGCCAAAGCGCAGTGTCTGTCGACTCCTAGCTGACATTGCTAGCTCGGCGCATGCTAGCTTACCCTGCCATGCACTTGAACTCGTGCGAACGCTTGCTTCCTATCCTCCCAAAGCCAAGTGGGAG